CTGGGTACAAGCGTCAGGCTTCTATTAGTGTTTTTTTCCTATGAGTAGAATTGCTATGAGTAGAATTGCTAGGACATAGGGTTTGCATATCTTTCTTTACTAGTGCTGCCCAATGTCATATCAATTTATTTTTTCTCTCTTTTTTTTTTTTTTTGTCTTTTTGAGGCAGAGTCTCACTATGCAGTTCAGGCTGGCCATGAGCTCACTTTGTAGCTCAGGCTGGTCTCGAACTCGCAACAACCCTCCTGCCTCAGCCTCCCAAGTGCTGGGATTACAGGTGTGTGCCATCAGGCTCAGGTCAATTTATTTTTTCAATAGCAGGTTAAGAGTTTAAGCTGCTCTATGTCCTTTCCCACACTTGATGTTGTCAGACTTTTTGTTTTCTGTGTATGTAATGGATATGAAATAGAATCTTACATTCTCTTAAATGATTTTCCTGATTCTGAATGAGTTTGAACATTTTCTTATACTGATTAGCTGTTCCTATTTCTCCTGCGAGTTGCTCACTTATATCCTTAATTTGCTTTTTATTTAAAATCAAGTTTTAAGGATAATTTAAAAATATTTTTGATGCAGTTAGGCTTTTTAAATATTTATTTGTATCATAACACCCTCTTGATGGTCTCTGGTAGTTTGTCTTTTCAGATCCTCTGGTTCAGAAATTATTCCTCATATTCTGCTTTTGAAAGTTTGTGCTGGGTGTGGTGATGCACTCCTGTAATCCCAGAACTCGGGAGGCTGAGTCAGGAGGATTACCATGAGCTTAAGGCCAGCCTAAGCTACATAAGCAAGTTCAAGGCCAGCCTGCATTAGGTAGAGATACCCTATCTCCAAAAAAGAAAAAAGTTTGCATACTGTTTTGATACATTCTATGGGCTGAATATGTTCTCTTCGTAAATTGCAGCAGCTGAAATGTTTAGTTTTTTAAAAAACCAAAGCATTGTACACTTCATCTGTAGAGCTCATGTCTGGATGAGAGCCAGTTTTAATTTGGGTGTTGTGTTAGTTACTTTTTTGTCACTGAGACATAATAACTGACACCCACAACTCTAAGGAGAAAAGATTGATTTGGGCTCACAGTTTGTAGAGGTTTTAGTCCATAGTCGATTGGCTCCAAGGCAGGGTGGCATGGCAGCAGGGCATGGCAAAGGAGAAAGAGCTCATGGTGTGGCAGGCAGGAAGCACAGTGATCATGGGAGGAGAAATGAGATAGACCCTTCTAGGCCATGCCTCAGTGACCCATCTCCTCCCAGCCTCACATTTAGCTATAAATGTATCAGTGCACTAATCCATTAATGAGTATCATGCTCTCATGATCCGATCACCCCAAACCTCACCTGTATAAATGGACGAGGCTTTGGGGGACATCTAGCTACAAACCGTAACAGGTGTACCATACAAAGTTGCCATTAGTTAAATATCGTACCAGTGACGTTTCTAGTTGCATAGTGCACAAATATTTAACTTTGGAATTGTGCTTATTGAATTACCCTTATGTTTTTGGCTTTTGCTAGTCCCCCGCACCCTTTTTGAGGCAGGGTCTTACTATGTAGCCCAAGCTGGCCTTGAACTCACTGTGATTCTCTTGCTTTAGCCTCCCGAGTGCTGGGGTTGCAGATGTGTGCCACTATGCCTGGCTTGTAGTCCTTTTTAAAAGCCAGTTGAGAGGGTGGTTTTCTTTGTGGCATTCTTTTTTCCCCCATGAGATATGCTCTAGCAAATAAGAGCATTAGTGATAACTAATGCATGTTAAATAAAGAAAATAATTTCTTGGTAAATGTAGTAAACGCACTTTAGTGATAGCTGTTCAGTGTTAACTGAATAGCAGCCTTGCTCATCTGCCTGATTGTGATATAGGGAGCCTTGTCTTTGACAGATTATTTTACCAGATACCCAATGTTTCCTGCCCAGATGGAGCAACTTGAGTCACGTGAGTCTGGCCTTGCTCTTAATGGAGGTCAGTTTATATATAGTTTGTGTAGTTGCCAAATGGGAACCAAAGATTTCATGAAGATAATTCCTTGTAGCTTTTTTTATGGGCCAGGCTTGTGCTGCTTGTGCTTTTGTGCAAAATAGTAAGGAAACCTGAGAGAAAGGGCAGGAAAACCTGCTTAGTTTAAGGGTTTACTCCAGTTCTAGTTTCATTTTTTAATTCCACATGTTTAGATAATTGCCTAGACTTTCCTCATTTATTAAGTGGAGGCAATTATCTCTTCCTGGAGTACCCCTGGGAGACGTTAGAATAGGTAGGAAGACTTGAAGCTGCGCATTTACTGCTCTTACAGGAGTAGCATTTGCTGCATAAAATGCTGCTCAATAAGCCAAAAGAAAACAGCAAATATTGCCAGACAGATAATACTGATTATGCTAGCTGGCAGTACTCGTGCCTGCAGAAATTTCCTAATGGTGGTTACCTTTTGATTGAGTCACTTGTGTGCATTACCTCTTGTTTTGTTTTGTTTTGTTTTGTTTTGGTTTTGGTTTTGGTTTTTCTCCGGTACTGGGAACCGAACTCACGACCTTGCGCTTGCCAGCCAGTTGTGTGCATTACCTCTATAGTACTATAATAGTGTTATTACAAGATTTTAAAGAATTAAAAGATGATGCAATTTGTATGGGCTTGGATTTGTAGAATGTTTTTATTTTTTAAATTAAAAACAAATTTTTTGGTATGGGAGTATATCATCTAGCTATAGCTCCAGCCCCTTTTAAATGTCTTTATTTTTATTCTAAGACAACATTTCATTAAGTTGCTCAGACAGGACTTGAACTTGTGGGCCTCTTTAAATGCTAGGCTTATAGGCATGTGCCACCACGTTTGGAGTGGAATGTTTTTATTCCTGAAAGTACTTTTAAACTTTCCTTTAAAGTACATTGAGGTAGTTAAAGCAGGCGTTTTTATAATTCTTTGTATGACAATATTAGTAGAAGTAATTATTTCTAAATATATATTATTTGTAATAAATTCTCATGCACAGGATCTCAAAGGTGAAATGACACACTGAGGATATGTCACTATTCAGTGACAGGTCCGGATTTGAATCCAGAGGCGCTTGGTGTCCATCTCATCACGATGGTTCTTGAACGGACAGAGCAGTCTACAGTAAATACACAATGCGCCTTATACCTAAGTGCTAGGAAAATATAGGCATCAATAGTGATGGGCCGCTCTCTCAGTGCTGTACTGACACATGTGTAGCTCGCTTTCTGGTAGTAGAAATAAGTGTGAACAGCAACAAGACATGGAAATTTGAGAGTACGTTTGGAGACAGACAGGGAGGAAATATAAGATGTTATGAGTCTTAGTTGTTTTGGACCTTGCTCCCTGCCTGGATCATGGTACCATTCATATACAGAATTGGACGCCTATTAAACCCTCTAATTTGCAGGTAAATTGTATTTCTTATAACCAAGTTGTAGGTGCTTTGAGACTATAAGCCTGGAATTTATGGCAGTGGCAATTTCAAATATACCACGTGTAGCAGTATAAGAAGGAGCCCCAAAGGGAATAGGGTCAAGTATCTGTTCTGAGGTTGAAATGAATAGTGGGCAGCTTTTGAAGAACACTATTTCCCAGTCCAAAGAAACTGTATTTATGTCACAATGTGTAAATCTGGTGGTTTGTGGATGTAAGGAATAGTGAATTGAGAAACTCAAATTTTAAGCAGGAAAGTTCAATTTTGAGTTGACCTTTCTTCTTTCTTCTCTTCTCTCCTCTCTTCTCTCTTCTTTCTTCCTTCCCTCCTTCCCTCCCTTCCTTCCTTCCCTCTTTCCTTCTTTCCTTATTCCTTCAGTCCTTCCTTCTCTCCCTCCCTCCCTAGTTAGCCCAAACCAGAAAGAACATAGATTTTTCTTTTCTTGAACTGGATACCAGTTGGTCTTGGATCCCTTACATTTATATTGATTACATATTTCTCTATTAAGGTAAATTTTCTCTCAATTTAAAACGATCCATGAGAGGGCTGGGGGTGTAGGTCAGTGGTGGAGCACTTACCTTGCATGTGCAAGGCCCTGCATTTAATCCCCAGTACTGCAAAACTAAACAATCAAAAGATTCACAGTCATGATTATCCTCCCTGAGGTAAGATATATCCAAAATAAAAATGTACGGTGTGAGGCAGCAGTCATATGACAGCGTTCATTGCCTTTATTAACTACTAGGTACCAGAAACTTTTTGTATTTATAAATTGTTATGTAGTGTGCTAGGTTTGATAAAAATGCTTGCCCACTTTCAGTAAGTTTAATTCAATATCTCAAGGAATTGTCTTGGTGGGGGGCAGTGCTGGGGATCAAACTCAGAGTCTTGTGAATGCTGGGTAAGTGCTCTGCCACTGATTTGCATCCCTTGCCCTGAACTACTTTGTGAAGCTATTGGTATTCATTTTAGCAGTAAAGTCTCAGAAGGATTATGGTACTAATAGTTACAATGTATTGTGTGCTTATTAGATGTCTTATATCATAGAAAACTCTCTTAACTTGCATCATTTTACATAATTCTTGAAACCACACTGTGAGGTAAGTCCTGTTTCCCACCCTATTTTCCAGATGAGGAAACTAAGAGTAGTTAAGTAACCTTTTTGGTACCGGGAATTGAACTTAGGACCTTGTGCTTGCCAGGCAGGCGCTTGTGCCACAGAGCTATATCCCCGGCCCTGTATAATTAATCGTATTCTATTATGTGCCGTGTTGTTTTTTTTTGTTTTGTTTTTGTTTTTGGTACTGGGAATTGAACTCAAGACCTCAGGCTTGCCAGGCAGGCGCTTATGCCACTGAGCTATATCCCGGCTCACTGAGCAACATCCTTAGCCGGTGAAGCCAAGTCTTAAAAGAGGTTTCCACAGCCATATGGTAGTCTCCATTCATTTGTTTTTAAACAGTAATGTTTGTACTATGTGGTGATATCAACTTGTGTTTGGATTGTGAGTATTTAAGAACTGCATTTTCAGCAGATGAAGTTCTAGCCACTATCAGTTATTTATACATAAAAATTTTCTTTCAGGTCACTAGCCCATTTGGGGAGCCTCTTAGGAGAAAGTGCGTCATACACTGAATGACTGTGAGTTTCATGGCTCTTGGAGGCTGTGATAAAATTACCATTGCTTCTGTATCTACTCGGTATACCTCTGAGCAGTTTGTAATAGCACTTTGCTCTGTTCAAAGAGCAGCTCAATCTGAGAAATTCCCTGACCTTTCCTTGGTACAGCTAGCATATTAGATAACTTCTATTTTCTTCGTGTCTGCCTTTTCTCCCTTCCCTACTCTGGTCTTCATTTTTGTATGTGTCCTGAGAAATCAGAGTTTTGATCTCAGCCCATGACCAGCCCATGACCCCAGACTTTGCTTTTACTTATAAAGAACCATATGAAAGTGGATAAGTATATGAGAAAGGGAATTAACATTTTAGAAAGCAGTAAATGGCATCCTGTCAAGTAAATGGTTTTCGTCAATCAGGACCATACCAGGAAAACAGAATCCATTTCAAGCATTTAAAACAGAAAGAATCTGCTGCAGGATAATTATTATAACATGGGTAGTAAAAGAGCTAATGGCTAAGTAGGAGAAGGTGTGGTAACTTGGAGATTAGCAACAGGAAGTTACCACCATCTCCTCTTCCAGCTGAAGAAACACAGGAAGGTACAATTATTGCATACAGGGTGCAAATGTTGTTTGGAGAAAAATAATCAAAACATAATTTGACCGGGTAAAGACAAATACAGTGTGCTCCATTCCCCTCTCCCCTGTCCCCTCCACCCTAGAATACAGAAAGCTCTGTGCAAAAATTGCTGCTTTTGAATATAAGGTTTTTGCTTTCTCTCTGAGGTGCCAGCCTGTGCATGAGTGCTAAAGAATAAAAGCAGCTTTTTTTAAAAAGTCAAAAAAAATAGAATAACATCCTGTAATTTTTACACATTTTTAATCTCTGAAAGAAGGAAAAGAATTTATGCCTAGCTTGCAAAAGTGGTATGAAGAGGTCATCTGAAAGAAGTATTTGTAATACCTACGAGGTGTAAGGCCACGTTCGCGCTCAGTGAAGGACCATGACCCTTCCCCACGAGCCTCTTCTGAGAAGCAGCCCCCTGTGCTGTGTCGGGTCCACAGTACGGCTGTGTACCAGGACACACAGAGATGGCGTGTGAAGTCTGGCACCCAGGGAAAGTGAAATGTAACTAAAGGAGTGTATTCCTCTCTTCTGAAACCGTGACTAGGCAACTTCCAGTTACTGGAAATAATTATTTTACTTCCCTTTGCCTGCGGACGGATGGATCGGGCTCACTGATGAGTGCTGGTCAAGAAACAGGCCAGTAATTTTGCTGAATGTGGCTGTTCTTTGGCTTTTTCTGCAGCAGATAACACAGAACAACAAGGCTAATTAAATTCTGTTTTTTCAAAGCTCCTTGTTTCCTTGGCATGGAGAAATTTGGTGCATTTTTTAAAACTTCCCTCTTTGTATATAATAGTACTTATTCCAAATATAATAGTACTTATATTTTGTATTGAAAAGAGGCTTTTGGCGGGGGGTTGTTTTATTTTTTTGTTGTTTGAAACAGTCTCGGTTTGTAATGCAGGTTGGCCTTGAACTTACTGTGTAACCCAGGCTGGCCTCCAACTCGCAGTGATCTTCCTGCCCCAGCCTCCCAAGTGCTGGGATAACAGTCGCTCACCACCACGCCTGGCTCTTGAAAACAGTTTTAAGATAGACTTAAGAAGTACTACGAGAGAGGACAATGATGGTGCACTTGGAAAAAGAAGTTAAAAAAACTCATCATTGAATGGAATGCGCTTCAAAGTTAAAAGGCTCAAATTCTGTTTGTAGCTCTGCGTTGTGTCATTAAGGTTATGTTAGTGTCTGTTCTTCAAATCTCCATGTAGAATGATAGTCCTTCTACTCGTCTTGGAAAGTTACATGAGGTTTAAACAAAATTTGCTTTCAGGAGGGAAAGCAGTCTTTTGCAGATGGGAGGAGGGACGGAGGGGAGAGGGAGTGGATGGAAGGCCCCCCTCCTGTGAGGGGAGTACTAACTCCGTACAAGGAAGGTGATCGTTATTATGTGTTGCAGGCATGTACTAAGAAAAATAAAGATTGAAAAAAATTGCTCTCAAATTTTAAAAAACCCTCTCAGAACAAAAATAAGGTGCTAATGTTTCTTATGGGCTTAATGTTTATGTCCCTCTCCAAGGTCACACATGGAAACCTTAACCTCAGTGTGGCCATTTGGAGGGAGGGCCTCTGAGAAGGTGAGAAGGGTTACGTGAGGTCACAAGGGCAGCGTCCTCACCTGACACGGAGGAAGCCACACTAGAGCTCTTTGTGCTGCTACTCCAGGACCAGGCTGCACAGCTGCTGTCTGCCAGCAGGAAAAACACCCTGACCGGAAGTGAACCCTACTGGACCTCCACTTGAGACTTCTGTTCTCCACGCCTGTGAGAAAATTAATTTCTGTTGTGCAAGCCACTCACTTTGTGATACTACATTACAGAAGCTGGAGCATACTAAGATATTCTTGATACTCCATTGAGCTTATATCCTTTTTTAGTGTGTCTGTGGGGTGGCTCTCTGTGTTGTCCAGGGTGGTGTTGAACCCCTGGACTCACCCAGTTCTCCTGCCTCAGCCTCCCAGGTAGGTGGGACTGCAAGCATGTGCTACTGTACCTGGCTTGATACTTTTAACTTTAGATCCTAGCGCTTTGAATCTTAGTTCAAGAAATGGCTTCCTGAAAAAAAGTCGTAATGCCTAAATGTCACCATATAAGAGAAAAGAATATTAGTGAGCACCTGTTTTAGATTCATTTTTATTTTATTTATTTATTTAGTGGTCCTGGAGATAAAACTCAGGGTCTCACACTTGCTAAATGTGTGCTATACCGCAGGCCTACACTCCCTGCCCAGATGCAGTTTTTAAAAATGTTTTTATACTTTAGACCTCACAAAACCCCTGGATAATAGATATTTTATCCCTGTTTTGTAAACATCAACTAAGACTTTTCTAAGGTTTTACCGTTAGTAAGTAGTGGTCTGAGATTCTCACATAATTCTTCAGAAGCTTTTAAATTATGCCCTGACTCCTTCTGTTCTTCTGCTAGTTGTATAAGGCTCAGTAGAATGCCAGGCAGGGTACGAAGGTTAGTGCCATCTGCATGTGTTGGACTTAGGAAAAAATTTTAGACTGCTGCTCCAACTCTCTCATTTAATGGATGAGAAAGCCAAGGACCAGAGAGTTAATGAATTGACTTTAGATTACAGATCTAATTAGTAAAGTGTGAAGATCAATACCTACTAATGTTTTGTAGTCCATTTTTAAGCCCGTTTAAACGCAAGCCATTAATAATGAGAGGCATCAGAAGATGTTGAGCAAGAGATTTGAGTTGTAGGAGTGAAGACAGTTTCCCTTCCATCCTCTGAAGGTTGGCTGAAATGAACTGACAATAGAGAGATTAGCAGGAGAAAAAGCATACGATTTGTTCATGTGCAGGGGGTTGTTGCAAGAAGCTAATCACCCAGTAACCCAATGAGATTAGAAAGTTATACAGAATTTTCATAGGGGAGGAGATGGGTGAGTGGAGGGATCATAAATAATTTTCAAGAGACTTGAATGGACTGAAAGAACAGACTATAGTTAGTAAACAGTTCTCTATGGAAGCTGAGAGGACCAAAGAACAGACAATTGCCGTGACCCAGTGGGTCTGGGTGTGGTGGCGTTCTGGTAGAGGGACTCTCAGGGAGGGGGTGAAGACAGTTGTGCGCCTTTCTTCATTATTCCAATCTTCGGTGATATATGGCAATTTCAGAGCCAAGCCTCTTCCAGCACCTACTCATCTCCCAGTGCTTTTAATTTAAAAGAATCAGCACACCAGGCATTCGTACCTTGGGGTGGATGGTCCCTGGGCTCCAGGTTGAATGTGGAACCAATATTAAAGCCGCAGAACAAGGCTTAAGTTAGAATCTTTCTACCTTTGTGTCTCCCAAGGAATACAAGTAAGAATTGATAAGAAAGGTACACAGGATTGATACATGATTCACAGACCCGTGTTCATCTTGGAAGACAGATTCTAAGGTACAAAGAAAATGGAATTATCTGATGGCCAGAGTATCTCTTCTCATTTGTCACATGATGTACTTTTCAGTACTTTATGGTAACCAGTGTCACGCCTTCATCTGACACCCTGAAGTTCTTTATTAACTGTGAAGCCTGGCTTTCCCCCGACTCCATTTTGGATTAGGAGAATAAACTATATAAATGTAGATCTGAGAAATGTACTACTTTTTACTCTTTAATTGACTGTAGGTTTGAATACCCAACTCTATTACTTTTGAGCTGTATAAATTAATCTTGGGGTAGATACTTAATGCCTCAGAACACCCCTCCCCAATGGAGATAATGTTTAGAATAACTTCATAGAGTTGTTATGAAGATTACGATGCTTATCAGGCATTTAACTAACAGATAACTAACAGAGATAGCAGAGATTATGTCCCCTAAAAGTCTTAGCTGACATTTTTGTGAACTGTCACATTGACTGTGTCTCCAAAGAGAGGAAAATAATGTCAATTTTAGAGCTTTATGAAATGGCGCTTTGGTACCTCCTAAATATTTCTAAATCCTTGATTCAAGGAATGAATTTTCAGTACTAATTTATTTGGTCAGATCACTCAGGAGACCTGAGTTAAAAGTGCTATGAATGAATAAAACAGCTTAATGAATGTGGGAACTGAAACATAAAAATATGTTCCTAATGACAGTGTATATTATGATTTAAAAAAATATAGTCCCTGGCTGAAGAACAGTTGAGTGGCAAGCTTTCACAGATATGAATGGACCTCAAATTAGGAACATTCATAGATGTTAACAAATCATAGAAGTAGCTTAAATGTCTGCTGGACACTGTCCCGTTGTGCTGTTGTGTGCTTACTGTAGAGTGCCGCAGTGTACAGTAGTACAGTGCTCAGTCAGAGCCCAGGATGTCCGAAAGAGGAAAAGCAGCGGTGATGTGGAGGTGACTGCTAGCAAGCGCAAAGTAGTATATATTGTATGTTTGTGTCAAAGGTGTGTAAGACTCACTTCGTTGGATTTATGAACAAATTTGACTTAAAAACATTCTCTCAGAATGGAACTCGTTTGTAAGTCAGGGGCTTACTGTATCTGATAAAAAATAGGACCATCGATTTAAAAAACTACATGTATTCAAGGTCCATGGAAAAACTAGGTCACAGTGTATACTTGTACTGATAATAAAAGGAGGCAAGTCAGAAGTAAACTAGTATTAATAAAACAAGTAATCAGGGCAGGCATGGTGGCACACACCTGTCATCCCAGCACTGGGGAGGCTGAGGCAGGAGGAGCGCTGTGAGTTTGAGGCCAGCTTGGGCTACACAGTGAGTTCAAGACCAGTCTGGGGCTGGGGATTTAGCTCAGCGGCAAAAGCGCCTGCCTGGCAAGCGCAAGGTCGTGAGTTCGGTTCCCGGTACCGGAGAAAAACCAAA